CAGAGAGCAGAAAGTAAGAGAAAGACAGAAAAGAGAGGAAAGAGAATAAAAAGGGTGATATATGTAACATACATACAGATATATATATATATATATATATATAGAGAGAGAGAGAGAGAGACAGAGAGAGAGAGAGAGAGAGAGAGTGTGTGTGTGTGTGTGTGTGTGTGTGTGTGTGTGTGTGTGTGTGTGTGTGTGTACTCTCTCTCTCTCTCCCTCTCTGATCCAGACCCGAGGGGGGAGATCCAGGCTGTTCCTGCTGAACTGAGGCTGTGAGGCTTGTTACTGTATTCAGGCTGGACCGAATGTGAGGGTTTAAACGAAGCTCTCGCTCACTGGCCGCACTGTCACTACATACAGTACAACATGTTTCTGCGCACACGCACACACACACACACACACGCACACACGCACACACACGCACGCACGCACACACGCACACACACGCACGCACGCACGCACACACGCACACACGCACACACACACACGCACACACGCACACACACGCACACACACACACACACAGACCTATTTCACTTCTGATGTGATCGCACATTTTTCACACGTGAGAACACGTTTCCCCAAATGTAGTCACAAGTTTAATCAAGTTTTTTCACGTCGTCATGCATTTTCCATGTGATGACACACTTTCTCACATGATCACGTTTTTTACCTGTGATCATACCGTTTTCAAGTGACCACACGTTTTAGCACACACGGTAAGTGTTTGCACGTAATCACACTTTTTTTTGCCTGTGATCAAAAATAACATGTGAGGTGTCTAAAAATCACATGTGGAGTTCATGTGTCTTTTTGTATAAGGAACAGGGAGAGAGAGAGAGAGAGAGAGAGAGAGAGAGAGAGAGAGAGAGTAAAAAGGAAAAAGAAAAGGACAGGGACAGAGTAACGGGAAAATAAAAGAGACAGAGAGTGAGACAGAGAGAGTGAAAAGAAAATATATACATACATACATAAACATATACACCTATATAAATATATATATCGCTGCTGTTGGAACAAAACCTTGCATTTCCATTTTTGTCGTTTTTCAGTTTTTGACATAATTTGAAATTGCCTGCTGTCCTTTATACTGTGTGTAAATTTCATGATGAATGGACCAAAAGAAACGGCCCAAAATGACTTGAAAAGACGTCTGGTTCCATTGACTTACATTAAAAGTAAAGTATGTTTTTTCCTTCTCCTGGAAAGTCACCATTTTGGAGATTTTATTGGAGATGAGGTTTTATTCCGACAACAGCGATATATATATGTATTAGGGGTGGGAATCTCTAGGCACCTCACGATTCGTTTCGATTACGATTCAGAGGCTGCGATGCGATTATAAAACGATTATCAATGCATCTTTTTTCTATATAGCATTTATATTCTCTCACTGTGTGAGCTCAAGTTTCGAGTTCAAGTTTCAAGTTTATTTGTCACTTATACAGCATGTCAGGACATTTATGCATTGAAATGTTTGTGGTGAGGCTCAGATAATCACACTACAGAAAGTAAATAAGTAAAATATAAAATACAAACTGAAATATATTAAATATACACAAAATATACCCAGAATATACACAGAATATAGAGAAAATATACATTTTAAAGTGACTAAATAACAGTAACACTGAGTTACTTAAAGTGACTTGGTAGTTTTAAAGCAAAGTATCTGTAATGATTCATAATGAATTTACTTCCAATATCTTTTATTAATAAAACAAATGGAAGTGATGTGGCAGGAGAACTGGAAGGCTCTCATTCAGTGCTCTTGTTTGGAGCACGAGAAGCTGCTGCTACTCATCTGTGATAAAATGCGCAGTTACGGTGAAATAAGATCCAGTGGTGATGGACGACCACGCAGCACATTACAGATATTCTACCCGTTTTCTTTAGTGATATTATGACTTCAGTTTTGGTCTCGTTGTAGAGACGGGGGGGGTCGCTGTGTCAGTAAATGTCTTTGAGACGGGTCGTGTGCAGCATAGCGCGGAAGCCCTGTTTCGCAACGACCGAGAACCGGCGTGCAGACTGCAGGTCACACAGCAGCGATGCGTTATTCACATTTATAGGCAGCGCAGTTGGTTTCCTGGTACGTTAAATCTACAATGAGAGACTGTGAAACAGTCAAAAGTGGCGAAGACTTTATTCAGCTTCTCTTTTGAATTCTCCCGTTCCACCTTAAATGGTGTCGCATTTACATTTGGCGCCTCAGTTAGAATTTAAGGTGGAACGGGTAAATTCGAACAAGAAACTGGAGAATAAGAAGCGACTTCAGCCTCGTAAAACAGTCGAACATTGGGAGACTTTTAACAAGAAACTGATCACCTTTTGAGGAAAAGTCTCCTGGCGGAGAGGAAAGCAGCTGTAGCTGAGCTAAAGCTTAAAGCAGAGCGGAGTAAATCTGTGTTTTCGTTTATATTGTTTAGCCCAGACTAGGACATCATCACACACTGAGACATACTGGACATTAAATGTTGTGGCTCCTAAGCTGGTTTGATTTTATTCTAAGGTCAAAATGGCTCTTCTTATCATTCGTGCTGTGACTCCTGACCTAACCTGGCTTTAATGCAGTGGGAGCCGGTCGGATTTCTGTTTTTGTTATGTGCCGCCACAGACTGTCCAGGCGCTGCACTTACGCACTTCCAAGTTCCGCCTTTTACGTTCCGTCAACATTACGTTCTAAATTAAATATTTAGAAAATCGTTTTTTGACATTTGTGAATCGATTCAGAATCGTTCACTTCCGCATCTAAGAATCGATTTTTTCCCGCACCCCTAATATATATATATATATATATATATATATATATATGTATATATATATATATATAGAGAGAGAGATAGAGAGAGAGAATATTGCTGTTATTAATAGATCTGTATGAATATTTACTCGATACAGCCCTCCTACACACAACACCGTCAGAACCTCAAAAGCCTCACTGACTCACTGTGTGTGTGTGTGTGTGTGTGTGTGTGTGTGCGCGCGTGCACGTGTGTGTGTGTGTGTGTGTGTGCATGTGTGTGTGTGTGTGTGTGTGTGTGTGTGTGTGTGGAACCGAACTGAACACATATCTGTGATATCAGAAAGTTAAATTACTGGTTATCTTACACAAATCTGATCTGCTAATCAATGACCAACCACACGGTCGTCCAGCTCTACATTCACAGCCGTTCAATCACGTCCACTTTACCGTTTCTCATTAGGCTGAATGAATGACCGACTCTAAATGTAGGTATTGTGATATAAACTGTGTCTGTTCTACAGTTTCTCATTAGGCTGAATGAATGACCGACTCTAAATGTAGGTATTGTGATATAAACCGAGTCTGTTCTACAGTTTCTCATTAGGCTGAATGAATGACCGACTCTAAATGTAGGTATTGTGATATAAACCGAGTCTGTTCTACAGTTTCTCATTAGGCTGAATGAATAACTGACTCTAAATGTAGGTATTGTGGTATAAACTGAGTCTGTTCTACAGTTTCTCATTAGGCTGAATGAATAACTGACTCTAAATGTAGGTATTGTGAGGCTGGATAAGACAACCATCTTCGAAAAGCTCATGAATTTTTGGTAAGTGAAATCATCTTGAATCTATTAAATCTACTAAATCATATTTTGAGAGTATTAAGTGAATATTAAGAGTATTTAACTCATTTCTAGACAGTTTTGTCTTGTTTACAGTATTTTTCTGTTGTGAACGTGGCAGATACTTTTGTTTACATTGCTTACAGCAAGTTAATAATAAATCTTAATAAATAAATTAACAACACATAAATTCAGTAGTCTTATAATGTTCTTACACTAACCTCAAAATGAGAAATAGATATTTTGACCAAGTTTAAGATGATTTAACCAACAAGATTTTGTCTTTTTTTGATTATGAATAAAGTATTTTTGGTTTATATGACACATTTCAACAGTACTCGACATGTGTACCATACTGAGGCACACATGTCTTCACCGTCAGAGTTCCCTTTAACGCCAGACCATAATAATCAGAACGCTCTGCTCTCTCCGTCCACTCAACCATCTCAGATACACGTTCCAGGAACAGACAGCAGACACGCTTTACTGTATATAGACACGTATCACATCACATCACCGTTCATAAAGCAGAGCTGAGAGAAACACAAGGCTTAAACTTCATACAGCCTCCATCACACAAACAGTCAGCTCAGTACCACAGCTCTACACAGCAGAGACCAGCATCCACACCTCCATATCTAGAACAAACTCAGAGCCGGAAACCTCAACACTGATGTTCAAAACGTCTGGAGTCCCTGTTACCAAGAAAATCAAACCAACTTGGTTTTAAATAAATGCGTAAAATAAATTCAGTAGGATAAATATAGAACAAAGCTCTGAAAAATAAAGAAAATTAACATCCAGAATCGGGTTCTAAATAAAATAACATCCAGAATGCAGTTCTAAAAATATTTAATATTTGAAAACTTTTTTTAAATTATCAGGAATGAAATACTATTAAAATTAATAGCCAGAATGAGTCCTAATAAAAATTAACATCCCAAATGAAGTTCTAATAAAATTAACAGCCAGAATGAGTTTTAATTAAAATTTACATCCAGAACAAAGTTTTAATAAAATTAATGTACAGAATGAAGTTCTAATTTTGTAATGCTAACTGAAGTGTTGTTGTTTCTGAAAAAACAAAAGGCTTATTTGAATGCAGTATACAAACATATCTAACTATATATAATAGAAACATACAAAAAATTGTAATAATTGTATATAATATATTAAAGAATACATATGAATATTGCTAATGCAACCTAACTCTTCTAACTGGCCTGTTGGTTTGTGGTGTTACAAGTGAACAGCTAGACTTCTTCTCCTCCTCTAGCAAATCAAGGGCACACAGCACCACCTAGTGTACCAACTGAGGAACAGACTTACATAATCATTTCATTATAAACACCCCAAGCATGCATGATCGAAAAACAGCCACATTACAGTATTAGAAGCCAAAGTTCTTACCAGGTCTCATCGTTTTTGAACTCCAGCTCCCCATACGTGTCCTCGAAGTCCTCTCCGCCTCCCTTGGCAAGTCCCTCCACTGTTCGGAACGGCACGATGACGGTCCCCCTGGCTCCGGATGTCCGCAGTACCTTCACCTCCATGACACCCACACTCTCACTTACGTGGACGGACTCGCTTTCGAACGTGAAGATGCCAGCATGGTCGTCATCAAGAATGGTCACTGTTGCAACAGCAGGAAATCCCAGCACGGCCTTGGGGTACGGGAGGCTGTTGGGTGACAGTACCTCGTCCTCCAGCTCCAGAATGCGGACGTTGCTGAGCCGCACAAAGAAGTGCTCGTCCTCCTCAAAGATGTCATCGTCAATGATGCCGATGGTGATCTCCTTGATAACCTCGCCAGGTTTGAATACCACGGTGCCCTCTGTGAACTCGTAATCCGCGCCGGCGTTAGCCGAACCATCCTCTGTCTTGTAATCCACGTAGATGGTCTTGGCAACGTCACCCCCTTTGCGCACGACGGTCAGCAGGGCGGCACCACAGTTCTCTAGGCACTGATATGTAGCCGGCTCAAAGGCAATCCTCGTCACAAAGTCCTCTGGCTCCTCAACGTGAACCTCCTGGACACTCGTGCTCCTTTTAGCCTGTTCCGCCACGTGTTTCTTCAGGATATTCCCAGCGCCGGTCATCATACGTGTTGCCTGTATGCGGTAGAAGGCTCGGCTTTTCTGTTGGTGTGACAGGGCGTAGTAGTTGGCCATCTCCACAAGCTGATCTAGATCTTTCTCTGGATGCTTCTGCTTGAGGTCCTTCAGGATCCGGATCATGTCCCTGCGAGACTCGTCCATTTCCTTGCCTTCCATCAAGCCTATCAGGTTGCTGTTGGCACCGTCCATGAAGTGCGAGTTGACCATCTTTCCATCCATCTCAATACCACCTTTGGAGCGCTCGCCTTCCGTCTCAATGATGACGCCACGGTGCTTGTCAGCACGGTACTTTTTGTGGGCGAACTTGTAGAACAGCAAGCGCCTGTCAGCCACCCAGGCCAGCAAGACACATATGGGGAAGAAGGCTAACGTCAGTAAGCCCTCCCAAACCTGCACCACGTTCGGCGAGAAGACGGCCAAGATCATATAGAGCCAAACGTATGCGAAGACGCTCCAAGCGGCCGTGACGAAGAAGACGCGAAGGTGCTTCACCTTGCGCACCTCACCGTCCGGAATCACTGACACGCACAGGCCAATGATCACAAACATGTTGAAGGCTGCACTGCCCACGATGGTGGACGGGCCAAGCTCGCCAGCGTGGAAGTCATGGCCGCAGATTTCAATGAGTGACAACAGGATCTCCGGAGCAGAAGATCCTAGAGCCATCAGGGTCAAGTTGGACACAGTCTCGTTCCAGACCCGGATGGTGGTGGTGGTGGTCTCCCCATTGGGCCTTTTGACCACTATCTCCTTCTCCTGAGAGGTGATAACCTCAATGGCTGCCATGAAGCGGTCGGCGATGATAGAAACGCCCAAGAACATATAGATCATGGCAACAAAGTACACAATGACCCTTGCGATCTTGTCGCCCATGGAAGGGTCTTCGGGGTACCAGATGGGCAAGATGATGCCCGGCTTGCATTTTGACGATACCTCCGTACAAGTCACATTGCCAGGGGTGTCGGAGGTCGGCGAGGCCCGAGCCTCCGTGCACATAAAGGTTGTCGCCACGGAGACAAGGCCCAACCAGAGGCAGGCCCGAGTCCCCGGCCGTCCTTGCGTCGTCCTTGAGCGCTCCATGCACCCTCAAGGGTCCGTCCACTCTTAAAGTCCTTCTGAGATCCAGCACTGGGTGATCTTTGGCTCCACACGCAACTCGCCGCCTGCAGAAGAGACGGAAACGATGAGCGCAATCAGAGTCAACATGCAAGAAGTTTACAAACAGCCAACAGTGACAACACACTTCAGATTAGCCAATCAGACAAGACTCTCACATCTCTGGAAAGCTTTATATTTATAACAAACACTACACTGTCACAAAATGAGCACATTTCATGCAGGGCAAGTGGACAACTGAGCAAAACCGGTTTGTTTTATCAGAGAAATATTAAGTCCAGTTCTGCTAACAACAAAAAGAACAGAATTACAACAGGGCTTTACATACAGTAGAACAACATAAACCAATAGAGGACACAGAGGATGGTTTAATATAGATAGAAAAACAGAAAAATATTTATTTCATTTTAAATTATTAATTAGATTTTATAAGCTAATTGTTGCTCACTAATATGGGTAGCTATAAAGAGCTAAAAGGAGACGTAAAGGCGAATTCCACCAAAATGTTCAAATAATTACCTGTAAGATGTAAACAGAGCGGTTCAGAGTGGTTTGGTGTGAAACGCTCTGTTCTAGAGAAACTTACCGAGTCAGAACTGTTCACAGTGGTGGTGATAGGAACCAGACGTCCACCTCTAAAAGCTCCCTCACAGAAAGTTCCTACATGAAATGGTTATGAATTCACTGCCTGATGACTGAGACACTGTTTTATGATAGTTTAGAGAACTTAAACTCCATTCGTGGTGGAGGGATACATGCAGGGCGCTGTGAGGCAAAATAGTCCCCAAAGAAAACTTATTATTTCAGATTTTCCACTATTTTCCATCATCAACATTCCATATAAACTCAGAAGACTCGTGTAGGTTCACTGGTGGTTCTGGATAGTAAATAAAATGTCTATATTTGTGTTGTAGTCATGGCGACACCTGGTTCCTATCACCACCACTGTAAAGTCATCTGAACCATTTCACACCAAACCACTCTGAATGTCTCTGATTACATCTCACACAATTATGTGAAACTCCTGTAATTCTCCCAGCAGCTCCTGTTAAAGGAGATACTAGTGTTTCTGAGGAGGCCGCTACAGCAAGGCATTATGGTATTTGTGGTTATTATGGTAATTTACTTGCAATGAAACAAACACTCCAGGAGAGCAACAAGCATGCTAGAAGCAACTCTTAAAGCCAAATACTGACCAGTGCTATTTTTGGAACCCTCTGTGGGAATGAAAACATGTTTCTCACGTTCTAATGAACCAGTTGGTACCATTCCTGTTCTATTTGCTTCTAGAGAGCCTAAAAGGACTAAAAGCAGCCAAAATGGATCACATTGTGTGGGTAAAATGGCAACATCTGGATTTTGCTAGTTCTATTTGGAACCATAAGTTCTTTATTTCATGCTTAAATGGTTCTCTGCATGGTGAAATCGTTCTTCAGATTGATGACGAGTGTGTCATATATGTTTTTATATACAGCACCAAAAAGTCTTCTGATGTTGTTATGATGTCAAGCGTGTACGCTCTTAAAAAATATGGCTCTTCAAGGGTTCTTTAGTAAAGAAAATGGTTCTATATATAACCATGAACACTCAAAGAACCGATTACAGGGTTCTTGTTGCTCTTGTTGATTGTTGGAGAATGAGTTGTATATAGTTCTATATAGAACCTTTTGGAAAATGGTTCTATACAGCACCAAAAGGGTTTTTCTATTGATGTCAAGTCAAGCTTGTTACAACAGAAGAATTTTTTTGGTGCTATATAGAACCATTTTCAAAAAAGTTCTATATAGAACCATACACAGCACATTCTCCATCAATCTGAAGAACCATTTCACCATGCAGAAAACCATTAAAGCACTAAAGAACCCTTGAAGAGCTCTTTTTTAAGATGTTTTGACTGAACAAACGAAAGCGTGGTCTCTGTCTTTTGCACAGTGCTGAATGTGTAAATGCACTTGGTCATTAAAGTCTGAATCTGATATCTTTATGAATAAACATTAAACCTTGAAAGATCGAAGCCTAATGTAATGTGTCCTCTATAAACTGCTGTGGTGGAGACACAAAACCCTCACACAGCAAGACTGAATGCTGCCAGACTAAGCAATGTCCAAAACAACACGCTGACCAAAACCCCACCCATAGCAGGGGGCAGTGTGCATGCGAAGGAGAAACATATTTAAAGGTGACCTCTTATGCTTATTTTCAATGTTTATAGTTTTAATTTTGGGATCTAGAACAGATTTACAGCTTAAACGTTCCAAAAACACATTATTGTCCTCATTCTGTTCATCTCTGTTCACCTCCGTCTAAAACGCTGTTAGAGCTCCTGTATCTTTAAGCCCCGCCTCCTGATGAGCCCAGTGTGCTCTGACTGGTCAACCGCCAGAGGCATCACAGAAGTTATAAAGGAGGAGGAGACGGTCACTGGATGAAATATGAATGGGGAAAGCTTGGAACACTTAACATGGCACCTGTTTACAGAGAAAGTCCCGCCCTTCAAAAAAAAGAGCCAATCAGCTTGCTAGCCCCTCCCCTGATTCTTCGTGCAGAAGCCAGTACAACCCAAAAAACACGTTCTTTGTGTGTTACTGAGCCAAACGCTACAAACTATTTATGATTTTTTCCGTCAGATTTTATTAGCGATTTCAAACGTGTTTAAACAGTAATTTGACCTTCAGTTTCGAGTATTTTGGTCTCGGAGAGAGAGGAGTCTGGTCTTGTACGGTTGGAAATATCTGCCAGGCAGTGTGAACATTTTCCTGTAAGGACTTTGCCGGAATCCTGCTACTAGTTCTGCCCTTATACGTCTGAGGCTGTTCTTCGGCCTTATTCATACACGCTACCTCTGCGTGGTGTGAGCGATGCTGCAGCACGAAGACGCTGACCCTTCATACATACAGTGCTTGTGTTGCGGAGCAGTGAGAAACTTATACAGACGTTCCTTTTTCCAGATGGATAAATGGTCACATCGGTCACTCTGCTCAATAAAATATCAATTATAAAAGTACACGGTATGTTTGTTTATCCTCGACAGCGTTCTGACTTGTGATTAGGCAACAGTTTCAAGCCTGGTAGACCAACCGGGAAAATCTGTCTGCAGCTCAAAATATTTAACTAGTATTTTGTCATGAATTACACTAAACTTTGAATACATTTTTCTATTTAATTTTTACAGCTTATTTCAGTGTATTTTGCTGTGTGACGCGTGTGGCACATGGAAAAAATCAGTGCCGGGTCTACTGTCTAAACACCGCAGCGCTTCCAGTTAACATGGGTTAACTTCGTGTGAGGGGGGCTGAGCTCGCCGGTAGGCGGGCAGTGAGGACTGTGTTTCGAGATGATGTCATCTTGTAACAAAGGAAAAGGGCTGGAATTCCAGGCAGCGTTTCAGGCAGCTGAGAAAAGTGGATTCTGTGGGAGAGAGTTTCTCCCTCTGGAGGGAACGCTGAGCTTTGGAACTGCAGAACGTTTACATGAACAAAAAGCTACAACACTAAAGGAAAGAGAGAAAACGGAAAAGGATAACAGGTCTTCTTTAAAGCCATGTACGCCTGTACCAGCGTATACTGCAATAATCCTGTTAGCAAGCTTAACTAGCCTTAGCCTCCATGCTAATGCCCACCGGTGCACGCTGCATTGTGTAACCGCACTGCTGGAATCAGCTCCTCACTGCTTCTACACTCTCTGACAGACGGTGATTCCACGGTCAGCATCGTGGATAACACCGCACAGCTAACAGAGAAGCTGAATGGAGCCTCAAACTCCTGGAGCGCAGTGCTTTAGCGGCGTAGCTCACTCTCGCACTGTGGAGTCTGTGCTAAAGAACTCTAAAACACACTGTCAAAATACATAAACACATATTAAAGACAACTGACTCAAATATATTCGAAATGATGCAAAAGAAATATATTTACATATATTTGTGAAATTTGTATTATATATTTTTAACGTATATGCATACATTACATACATATAATCTACATACATGCATATCTTTCAATCTAATTACATATTAAAGAATGTTTAATTATACTCTGCAAACATTTCCAATAATGCACATACATATTTAAAATATGAGAAAGAAAATATGTATACATACATTTTTCTTCTATATTGTTTCAGCCTCTTCACTACTCACTGCTAGCGTCTCATAGCATTTTCTGCTAGCTGTAATTTTTATTCTTTTCGTTGGTTTTGCTGAATAAAACAGCTCTTCTGCTTATTTTGATTTAAGTTACATTTTTAATATTTGTAAAAATATTCTGGACAATTCACTTTTTTAGCATCCAACAAGCTGTTATAGAGGACTAGCAGCAGATTAGCATCATGTTACATGCTGTGTAGAACCTTTTTAAAAAGGTCCTATACAGAATAATCTCCAGCACATTCTCCCTCAATCTAAAGAGCCCTTTCATGATGTAAAGAACCCTTTATTTATGCAAAGTATTCTTTGAGCGTTTATGGTCCTACATAGCACCAAAAAGGGTTCTGCTTTTGTTATGCTGTCAAGCTTGTCGCAATAGAAGAATCCTTTTTGGTACTATATAGAACCCTTTTGCATTTATGTGCACACCAGTATAACAGCAAAGACTAAACTAATGCCTTAAGAAGGATTTAAAGATTAAGCGGTTAAAGATGATGAATGAATGAATGTATGAATGCTGCATTAGCCACGCCCCCTCCAGCCCCCTACACCGGCGCTCAGGGTCTCCCCCAGACTCCACCAGAATAATCACACTCATTATTAGTTAAATGGGAGAACGGCCTGCAGGGAGAACCGCAACCTTTATTACAGCACAGGCACACTCACGCTGTTCTCCACTGTTCTCCACTGTTCTCCACTGTTCTGCTTTACCGTCACTTTCAGCTCATTTCCACTCCTGATCGGAACCAAAAGGCCAAAATGACAGAAACAAGCGGCGCTTTATTTAAAGAGTCATATTTTAGAATTAAGTCATTAACACGTTTACTGTCCTCTACTTTAATGAAAATCTGTCTGAAAAACAAACCAAGCTGGTGTTTATTTTCTAAGTTAGTGTTTCCAGCTTCA